ATCACCACACATTTATAAATTCATACTAAAATAAAAGTAAATCTGTCATTATGTGCAATTGTTTTGTACACTATACAGCTATTTTACGTTTGCATAGATACTTTTTATAATACTTTTTTAACATCAAGACATATCAAAATTATCAAAAATAAATTAAAATTAAAAACGGTGGTACTGTGATAATACAGCATTCATTTCTTCAAACTAGAGATCTTAAGTTTACAAAACTACAAATTATAACCGATCCCAACTATTAAAATATATATTTAAAAAAAATATTAATATTTTTCTGGCAATAAATTTTAAAAGTTGTAATTCTGCGCTCTTCTTTAATAATGCGTAGCAATGAATTTTACTGTGATTATTTCCACTTGTTGATTATTTTTACCGTATTTTATGTATGAACAATTAATCTAAAAATGCATATTAACTTTTAATAATTTCATTTTATTTCAACTTGATGATACGAATTATTTTTGTCGTCCTTGGGTTTCGAATTATCAAGAGTCGACTGTACGTATATCTCTTGTACTTATAAATATTGTAATATATATTCGACTTGTTCCTACATATACAAGTTAAAATTACTTTTGACGAATCCTTTAAAAAAAAGTTTTATTAAAAGAAATTACAAATTATTACTGGTATACATTCAGTTACTTAAATGTAGGAATCTAAATCAAATTTCTCTGATACGCCTTCAGGAAAATCTAACTTATGGCAAATTGGTTAACTAAAAATGATTACAAATTCTCTGGAATGGGAGAGCCTATTTATTTAATAGTATAATAGTACTCCTACATAACTCACAAATATTAAAAAAAAGTTATTTCGTTTGTAAGAAATCTATAACGAATGATCGAGCAGAAATCGTTAAAAAGTAATCGCAAATGGCATGTTTCCTTAGTCACGTCAGAATTCTTGATGTATTCACCCTATTACTATCCCAATAGAGAATACTTGTAAACACATATGTGGGGTGTCAACTTATAATAAAATATAAAAAAAATTAAGCAATTAAAGAAATTATAAATATAAAGAAGACAATGTCTTTAAAAAAATCCATGTTATATAATAAAAATTATAGTTTTTTATTTTTCGAATGGTTCCCTATTTTCATTTGTCGATTTATCAATTCATTCGATTTGATGGAAAATAGCAAAAATCTTTTCAATTCATATTCGGTTCAGAAAATCGTGGCTAGAAACGCAATTTTTGATCACTTTTCTAAACAATTAATAAATAATAATAATAATTATTATTATTAATGATTATTTGGAGATCGTGAGATGCGGTCTGGTGTGACGTAGGTTTTATAAAAACATTTTCTTTATCGTGCCACGTTTCGAGCTTTATTGAGATCATCTTCAGGGCCTTGTGTTTGCTTTTGCTTTTCAACAAAAAAGTTCTCTGATTGATAGCCGATGCAAGTTTCTTCTCATTGTTGGCTATGTCCTTCAGAATACCCTTTACTTGGTGTCCATATGTAGTTGAAATCTGTTCATAGAATCCCATGTTCTTCGTTCCACGACCATGCCTTGTTCCAGAGTGTTCGTGAATTTAATTAGCAAAAGGGGGAATTATTTTGAAGACCTGTAAGTTGTGGATGACAATTTATCATAAACGTCATACCAAAACTCTTGAATATGTATAGGTTAATTAGTTATTCAATTATTCAATTAATTATACACAATTTTTTCGAAATGAAAAATTTGTGTCACAGGCGGGATTCGAACAGTTTTTGGTATGGGCGATCGTAGTCACGGTAGCTCAAAGAGGTAGAGCAGCGGGGTATTTAGCCGAAAGTCGTGGTGTTCGAATCCCGCCTGTGACACAAATTTTTCTTTTCGAAAAAATTGAGTAATTATATAATTAAGAATAAGCCGATAAAAATAATTAAAAAAATAATTAGTTATTGGAAGCTTTATTCACAAACTGATATATATTTAAGGGAGGAAAAACATTCTCGTATAGATATTCCAGGTCAGGTATTATTAATAGATAAGAAAGCATGGGGAAAAATTAAGCATGTTTTATCAAGCAATTATTCATTGGTTCATCGATAACATAGCAAGGAGTAGCAAGGAATCAACTAAAAAACAAAGCTGTTCAGAGATTTTAATAATTTATTTGTTTCCCAATTTAATATTTCGGAGTGTACTTAATGGCTCGTAATCAACCACTTGAATCGATTAGTATGTCGATGAGTGAGTCATCTTTTTTATTATCTTGTTTATCGTTTTGTAAAGCATATAAAATGAATTTTAGAATATTTAAAAATTTCAAAAAGTAAAGAATAAATAAAAAAAATATTGGGTTGTCCGGAAAATAATGCAGGATTTTGGTATTAAACAAAAAAAAAGAAACTAGTTACTTTAAAGCAATGTTCTTTAATCAAAATANTTGACATTCATACAAATGAGTAATCCTGTAAACGTAAACAGAATATTTTATATAGATTTTTTTTAATGAAAACTTAAAATCCTGCATTATTTTCCGGACAACCCGATATATCCAATAAAGGCATTCTTTTGGTGTTTCAAGGGAAGATTATGACATTCTTGTGTCGGGAAATACTTGGCAGTACGAAATCGAACCAAAATTCCTGTAAATTCAACACGAAGAATATTTGTAATTTTTTGGTTACCCGGTCATCGTGACTCCCTATCCAAGCTATGTCTGTCAGACGCGTTTCGGTATTTCGTCATCTTCAGCATTGTGTCCGGGTGACTTATAAATATAAATAAACATAACACGATGAATAAAAAAAACCTGAAGATGTCCAAATGCTGAAACTCTTCTGACCGACCAACCCATATGGGAAGAGGCAGAACAAAATGATCGGTAACGACCAAATTACAGGTTCATCGCTACACAGACCGCACAGAGAAATCTCTCGAAAAATATTGCCTAGCTAAAGGACTGTTTGTACATTATATTAAATGAAACTACGCAAATTGATAGTTTTCCTTTATTGTTTATTTAAATTAAATTGAAATAAACGCACTAACAGATTAAAAATTCGTTATCTTTATTTAAAAAAGAAAGCACGAAAGTAGAAGAAAAATATTTTCTCTATATTAAACTATAAATAAATATATGTAAGCTTTTATCACCTTTATTTTTTTTTAGAAACGGCGTATCACATGTAATCTTTTTAAATCATATTTTGTGAAAATTTATACATTGTCAATTGTTTTTCTATGTTTTTATCATTTAAAGTAAGGGCACAGCGATTTTTGCAACTTAAATAGAGATTTTTTAAGAGATTTGCGGGTGATGAACTTGCTTGGATGTTTCCGGTCATCCTACCCCAGCGGTTTTGGTCTGATAGGTTTGCTTCCGACCATCGATGATTAAGAAAATACAAAACGCATCTGACCCTGGGCACATAACAAATACACTGCGTATTTTGTGTATAAGTATGGTTTCATATATAATAGCAAAAGGCGCGACAGAGCTAAAATCAGTCCAATTTGAAATAAGATACAAATTTAGAAGCGTTTATCAATTATTCCAGAACTTTCCCTCAATATCAATTTCTTAAATAATGTCTTGCGCTGTTTTTCCATTATTCACGATAGCTTTCCCACGTTGGTTCTGAATATTGTGATTAAAAAATATACGCTGATAATATAGTAATATATTATGAAACAATTACGTCAATATCTATAAAGATATTGAATTTTTTCTCAAACTAGGGAAGTTACAAAAAATTAATATGCTTCAAGGCTTACACAAATCAAACATTTTTATCTAAACTTTAACAGCATTACTGGTTTTTTTAAGATGAAAATGATGATTCTAAACTACTATTTCTAAACCTAGTGATAAGCAAATTTCAGAAAACGTACTCCATTTAATATCCTTTTTAGTGATGTAATTATTTTTTTAATTACTTTTTTCAAAGATGAAGGAATTGATGGAGGAAGGAAAAAACCGTGGCTGACGGATTGGCAAGGTGGAAAATTAAAAAAAAAAAAAT